TGTTCCCTGCCCCTGCCACAGAGCACTCCCATTGCAGCAGCCACAGCCTGGCTTTCTATGCCAGCCTGTGAGGTGTGCAAGGGGCAGCTCTGGTGCCTTTGCTGGCAGGAGCTGACTGCTGCTTCAGGCCAGAGACGTGGAGTGCTGGCTGCTGCCAGCAGACTGGGATGGGAAGGAACAGCAAGGACCTGGCTTCCTCAGCTATTCTACAGGCCTATTGCAATTTATATGGGAATTACAAAAACTCATGTAGTCCATTTATAGATGTGCTGATTAAGTTTAGAAGGAACCACTTTGAATTATCTGCCAACAGCAAAAACTATTCCTTTGTGCATTGTCAGCCTTGAGTAACTCAGTCTGGAACTATTTCACCAATCATTTAGATGTCTGGGTTTAATATAGAGATTAGAGAGGGTAAAGTTAGGGCAGAGCTGACCCCAACTACCAAACTGTTTGCAGAAGGGAATAGTGAGTTAGCTTTGATCCAACACACATTTGAAATAAATATTCAGTTACTTCTAACACCAGATGGGCACAGCTAAAAACAAGGGCCTGGCTGCATACTTAATTTACAACATACCAAACTCATTGTAAATTAAGAATAGCAAAATGCTCTTCAGACTGTTCCTGCAGACCATGCTCTCTCATCCCTCTTTCACCTCCCACCCTGCTCCTCCACAGCTCAGGGGTAGCTGAAGCAGAGCAAAATGTCTTCACTCCCCTTCTGCAATCCAAGAGCAGTCTCCAGAGCCTAGCTATCCTGCTTGTACTGGGACTCCCTCTCATTTCAAAGGAATACTTCTGCAGAAAATTGTCATAAACAGGAAAACATCCACTTAAGAACTATGTAACAGTTTGTTCAGTAGGAGAAACGGACAGTTAGTGCGTGGAAATTCCCTCTCTTGACCTTTACAAGGTGAAAGGTGAGAGCACTACAGAGAGCACCAAATGTGATTGTGTTGGGTAAGGATTTATGTAATTAGATACATCTGCAGGAAAGGATAACACGTCATGACACAGCCTGAACCAACTTTGCTTACTTAAACTGCCAGGACAGCTCTGTTTACAAGCCACATGTTTGCAGTACAGTGACTGACTCAGTCAGGCAAAACCCATCAGGTACAGCAGCAGCAGATGACAAGGCTGAACCATTTCAGACTTTAGGGAGATTTGGAATTTTTTTCTATTGACAATATGGCAAAAATACTTTCCATTCTACAATATCTTTAAATAAGGAGTCAACTTTAATGTTTAATTTAAAATGCTACAGTAAGGAAGCAATGGATTCAAAGGAGGTGGTGTCTGGTGTTGCAGTTTTACAGTCACTATGTGTGCAGTGCCTTCAAATCAAATGGGCTCACCATTGCCTAGCCCTCAAAAAAAAAAATCTTTCTTCCTATCTTCATGCTGCATCCTTATTTATTTTTTTTTCAGGAATTGAGTAATTTATGCAGCCACATCATAATTTCTACCAGGAAACAGACCAAGTATAAAACCCACCTGGACAAAAGGGCAACTGGGGATTATATTTACAAACCAAGAGTGTCATAAATCAGAGAAACTGCCACAGGATGTTCCAGTACATCTGTCAAGTCAACAATATTCATAATGATTTGCTAAGTGCTGGCTATGAGGACTGAAGTTGCCTGGGAAGTCACATATCTAGCTTTTTAGAATGTCAGAACACTTTGGGAATTAAATGAGTAAAAATTTTACTTTCAACTTTTGCTTTTTTTCTGTCTCCTCTTATCCCTCAAGGTACATGTGCCTTGCCACTCCTCAAGATGCCTAAGACATGGAATTACCAATGTTAGGCTGTTTGAAACAGAGGAAAATTTCATCAATGTATTCTCATTCTAATCATATGACTAAGAGTTAGCTAGAGTCTTGTTCTTCAGCAGAACAGCTGCAGTTCTGGAAGCTAAGTCATGAAGTTGAATAGTACTTTTTGTTAAATTTAAATTAAGACCAGAATGCATTTAAATTACTGTGTTTTTGTCACATAAATCTTAGGCCTTCTCTTGTGTTTAACAACACCCTTTATTTTGCCATTCTCTCTAAATCCCATAAGGGACAGGTTTCAAAGAAACTAATAATTTGCAAATAGTAACACTTCAAAGTGTGTTAGAAACACAGCAACAATCTCATTTTCTCTTTCAACCACACTGCATACTAACTACATCCTCTAACAGAAAAGTTTATAAAACAATATCCTCACTGGGTCTAATAGATGCAGTAATCAATCCTTGAAAAGGACACAGACTGACCCACACTTGGAGATTCAAAATAATTTAGCTTTTTGACAAGTTAAATAATTCAGCTTCTGGCAGGCTGGACAGCTTTAACATAGGTCCTCAGAAACACTGCTCATTTACCACCTCTCTAGTCAAGCAGAAGTCACAGCACACCTCTCTTCAAAATGTTACTCTCATGCTACCCCAGCCAGCCAGCTTGACCTCAGTAGCCTTCACTCTTGGCTTTTTCCATCCTTTGTGCTCTGCCTCCCACTTCTCTCACGTTATTTCTGTTCTCCATCTTCTCAGTTCAGCACTGTGCTTCCCTGTGCACACTGAGGAGCTTCTCAAGGCAGGCTGTAAATGCCCCATGTGTGCCACTCCACATTTTCCATCTGGCTGTCACGGTGTGAGGACAGGAGCCTCCAGAAAAGGATGCTTTGTGGCAGAGCCAGCCTCAAAGGACAGACTACAGCATTCAGGGAGGTCAGCATTCACAGATGGGAGCCTGCTTGGCAGCAACACCATAACCAGAAAACCAACACATCAACAGATTACTGCGGCCTTCCCCTCCCTCATCTGAAAAGAGTTTGGAGACAGAAGAAAGGATTGCTCTGCTCTGCTTTGTGGGTTTCTTTCTGTTTTTAGCAGTCTTGAAAAAAAAGTCAGAAAACAAGAATGCATGCTTCTTGTTAGAAGGATCCAAAATAAGAACAAAACTAGTCCTTTTTTGACATGTTACAACACAGAAGTTCAGAGTCATGAAGAAATAAAACAGGATCTGCCAGCATCCAGAATGATCTTGCATTTAAACTATGTTTCCACTTGGAAAAAACTATGAACTCAATAGTTAACACTGTAATTGTGTATAATGACATCTAGCATTAAAAAAAACTAAAAGGATCCCAGTCAGCTGAGAGGATCAATGTAGGGAAAAGTCTTTAGTAGTCCATGTGTCTAGAAGATTATTTCTTTTGGGTAGTGAAGCAGCTATTTTGTTGTTTAGAGTGCAAATATAAACTTCCCATGCCAAAACAGGAACTATTCAGCCAGTGAGTATCTACAGGTCTATGGCAGAAATAATGGGCTTCTCCAATCTCTCATGTAATGACTCCATACTCCCAAAAAACAGGATCCAGAAAACAAGAGCAGAAAAAGACTGGCAGAAACCCCAATGATTAATATTTTTTGTGCATAACAAAATGTAATAATCATTCACAGCAACTTTACTCATAGCTAAGAGAATCCTCTTCTAGATAAGCTGGGACGAGCCCAAGTTACTGTTCTGTTGTGTAGGAAGGAAAGGTAGGTCCTCCCAAAATCCTCCTAATCAGTAAGCAGCTGGGATTCAAGAGAAATTTGACCTGTACCTATATGGAACAACATAAATGAAAGCTGATGCCTCCACACAGCCCTCCTGGAGTTCTTTGGCATCATAGATCCCAAAGTGCTTCCACTGCAGCCCAAGCTAAGGAGAAACTGAAAGGCAATTTATGCTGTTCAGCATGCCAATACCTCCTAGCAAGATTTCTGACCAGAAATCAGGAGTAATTATCTGCCAAAATCAGGCTGGCTCTTTGCTTGATTGCCTCCAGTTTCCATTCAGAATCCTCTTTAGAGCTTCCACAGCAGGAAAAGCATGCACTGAGCAAGGACATTCTTTTCCCCTCCTCATCTTTGGCAGCACAGATCTGTCTTTCTACATGTTAAAACATTGTGCCACTATGTTCTGCCTGGAATTCTTCTCAGATAATTAAAACTTCCTCCCTGATCCCACCCAAACAACTTGTGAACTTTTTTTTGTAGTAAGAAAAGTGGTCTCTTTGTGAGACAGTATCTCATGCAACTACACTGCCACTCTGACACACTTTTCAGCAAATTTTATCTAACCTCCTCATCTCACTTTTATCTACATAGATCAGTATACATTACTTCCTAACAACAGCTTTAAAGTAATTCTTAGAACTAAAATGCATTTCTTGTAATGAACGAAAGTGAATTTCTTCTTTTATTAACAAGTTCGTCTATAAATTAATTTTAATTCTGAGAGTGTGAAAATTTAAATTCTGGCTTTGAAATATGTGTGAGCAGCTACTTTGCTTCTCCTAATTTAGAGTAAATTTGATTGACAAAAAAACCCAATAATCTTAAGCCAATTCTTAGTGAAGTGCTACAAGGGAGTATCAAGAAGTCCCAAACATAGGTTTCTCACTGACAAAGGAGCAGGATTTTTCTTCTACAAATCAAATGGAAAGAACTGAAACCAGTTTGAGCCACCCTTGTTAATCAGGACTCAAGTCTCAAAGCAATAGGAAATTAAATAATATTTAAATGTGTACAGGATGTGGTTTGAACTAAGCAAGGGGTTATTTTAATGACAACTTTTACCAGCATAACTATATTAGACTAAATTTTCTACACAGCAGATTTACCCAATTCCCCCAAATCCCTATTACTATGAAAACTTACACAATCACATAGAGTTTCTGTAATTATGTTATTATTGACACCTTAGCTGTAACTATAAACACTGACTATATGAGGAAATGTATGACACTTTACAGCTAATACAGGCAAATATCTAGAAGAACCATCTTCCCACTAGTAATTTTTAATTTGTGAAACTCAGATAACTCTTTGAACTTCATTGTGAATGTGCGACAAAGTATCTGCTCATTTTCTCTAGAGGATAACTAATAATGAGGCACTCACTGTTTTACAATCAGTGTACACAAAACACTTAATGAATATTTAATCAGCACTTACATTTTCACACTGCATCTTTCTGGATTTTATGTGGGAAACATTGAGTCCATCAATAACAATATCAAACGGAAGTCGATTTTCAACAAATGTTTGAAAGGCCTCCAATTCCTGAAATAAATAAATAAACACAAGGGAATAATATGCTGAGTTTAATAGAAAGAAATCCCATTCAATTTTTATTTAAAAAGGAAACAAAGCCCAAATGTCTCACTTTTCCTTTGTTGGCTACACTTCACATCATTAACAACCACGCCAAAAAAACCCACCCCATCTTTTAAGCCATAACTCTTACATTGGATATGTCCAATAAAACCATTACAACCAAAAATTACATTACAACCGAACCTCAAAAGTTTGCAGTTATCCAAATTTTCAAAATTACAATCTGAGCTGTGCACTTCCATAAAGTTACATGCTATAGTCATTGTCCCACAGCAGCTGCTGAACAAAGCAACTTTACAGTCCAGTAGACAACTTCATCACTACTAGCTCTTAACATATCCAAATGAAAAATAACGATCATACTTAGGTTCTCTGAAAGAATGATGAAATCTCTGAATGCCAGTCAATATTTAAATAAACATCCATTTAGAAAGATAGTACTCCATCTGTGAGAAACACGTGGCTTTATGGCTAAAACCATGAACTTTCTTACTAGGTCAGAAATGTAATGCACTGATTGAGCAAAACATCCAGTTTTTCCTTCATAAGGAAATCACAACTGCTTTAGGTTTGAAAGTCTATAAGAGAAGAACAGACTACAGAGCTACAATAAAATCCTCAGGAATTTCTCCCTTGATTTTTGGGGAAAGATTTAGTAGCTTTTTTGCAGACACTTGCATAGGATTTGTACTGTTTGCTTCTGACTGTTTTTCATAAGACCAAGAACTCTGCATTATCCTGATGGGCAGTGACCTAGTTGCATAAATTACCTTTCTAGTAACAAGTAAGATTTATTTATCACTGACAGAGCCTTCACAATCCAGGCTATAAATTAACTTTCACAGGAACTCAAAACAATTAATATTTCATGCCTTCTGCAAAGGATTCAAGAAGTACTCTTCTAATCTTGCCTTCTTCCACGTAGCACTATATGGCAACATACATCTAAATAAAAGCCACTGCCTCAGCACCCAAAAACATACAGAGCATATACAATTCTTCCTTGGAGAAAGAAATGAAAGAAAGAATTCATTTTTCCAGAAAATACAACACTGTCAGGCAGTAACAAATGATCACTTCAAATTTAGTTGGAATGCTTATGACAAATTATACTAGGAAAAGGGCTACTGGTACTAAGAGTACAAACCAAGCAAGGTAAGATGGTTCACCCAGCTGTTAAAATTTCAGGAATAATTTCCAGGTGAACAGAGGTGCACCAGTCAAAAGCACAGCGGTAAGAACATGGACAACACAGAGCTCACTCTAGCACCCTGGAAATCAATCACCTGTTATGTGATTTTTCATTTCTCCATGGCTCAAATAAATGTTACTACTGAGAAAGTATAAAACACTGGACAAGGAAATTATCATCTAAAATAAAAATAAGTTGTTGGTACTTGTGAAGTATTTCCCCCACTCCTCTGCCCTAATCTCAATGTATTTTCCATAGATGAATAAAAATTCTCATTGCCATCTGACAGGGACACCAAGACATAGAAGGAAGTCACTAGGAAAGGCAGTGGCAGGGATAGCAAGTACAAAAAAGTGCAAAAGCAAACAACATGGATTCCTGACTTCTGGGCTTACACCACCCATGGACATCCCCATGGTTCAAAATCTGGTGAGCCATCACTGCAATACTGGATGGCTGTCTGAAATGTGGGAGATGAAAAGAAGCAAAACACATGTAGCCCAAAGGAAGTTAAGGTAGAAAAGCTCTGAGACAAAGATGAGTGAAAATAGAAAAAACAAAAGTGGAAGCAGGTGAAACATGTGGTAAACATTCCAACACAGCATTATTTTCTCAGTGCTAACAATTGGCAATATTATTTCAAGTAAATAGCTACAGTCAAGACATTTTTAAGAAGCAAACTGTACAAGTAATCCTGTCTTTATGGACTCAGTTCAATACAAACCAAGCACTTTGCAGAGAATTCTTCAAGTGGTATTTTACTTCAAGTGACAATGGTTATAGAGCAGTTCCTGAAAAGGTGGTTTTCCCTGACGGGCAGAGTAGACTGTTTTGTTCAGGGAATACTACAGCATGAGCTGGGGAAGCAGCAGAGGGGTTCAGTAGTCTGCACTCTCCTCTGCCCACTCTTGGCTTGGATCCCTCTCATCTTCCAGAAGAGCAGATGGTGCAGGGCTCTCAGAAGGGTCCTGCTGAGAGGCACCAGGATAGGCTCAGCACTCCCCAGAAAGCATCTCCTGGCTCTCTGGGGTTTACTCCTGGAGCTGGGGGATGCTGCAGCTTTTTCAGTGTCATTCCTTTGGCCACTGCATGTTCCTGCACCATCTCCTCCTGTCCATGTCTCTCAACATTCTGAACAGATGCCTGCCAGCCAGCGTGCCCCGGCAGCCTCCCAGATCAGCTCAATGCTTTTGTTCTCTAGGCACAATCTGTGCAAAACAGGCAGGGAAGGTTTGCTGGTGGCAAGGAGACTTAATCAGGCAGGGAAATAAGGAGTTAATAGCAAAGTGCAGAAGACAAATGGCCAACTTTAATTCATGTCACCAACTACAGAAGACTCCGATAAAAAGCCTCAGACAGACTAAAACTCCTAAGGGTCAGTTTATTTTCTCCTCACCACCCATATTTCCCCAGCTACGCATGAGAGTGTGTTCTTTCCTTTTCCAGAAAAAAAATACATCAAGAATGACAGAGAAGGTCTCCTCCCCTGAGAGACAGTTTTTGAGCTGCCATATTTCTCATCCTCTCTGGACACAGGGAAGGAAAAGGGCAAAGCCTGGAAATAAGCAGCAGGCTACCTCATCCAGACACAATATAAATACCCAAAGACTTACATGGTGTGAGTGTACTGGGTCTGGCTGAGCTGGAGTTAATGCTTCCCACAGCACTAAGGCTGTGTCTCCAACATTCCCCCTCATCAGTAGGCTGGTGGTGGGCAAAATCTTGGGAGGGGACATCTCCAGTACAGCTGACTCAACCTGACCAAAGGGATATCCCATCCACAAGACACCTCCTCAGAACAACACCCAGGAGAAAGAAGGGGGTGAGGACAGGGTGTATATTATTATACATTATATTATACATTATTATATATATAATATACATTATACGTATATTATGTTATATTATACATATATTATACATTATATCCCATCCATGAGACACCTCCTCAGAACAACACCCAGGAGAAAGAAGGGGGCAAGGGGGGGTGTTTATTATTATGACCATTGTTTTCTGGAGCAACTGCTATGCCTACTGATGCTTTACTTCCCAGGGAGTGGCTGGACATCACCTGGCAACGGGAAGTAGAGAACACTTTTTTTTTTTTTTTCACTTCTGCATGCAGCCTTTGCTCTTGCTTTAATAAACTGTCTCTATCCTGATTCACGAGTGTTTTTCCATCTCATTTTATACCCCTAACCTTGTCCTGTTGAGAGGAGTGATAGAGCAGCTTGGTGGGCCCTGGTGTCCAACCAAGACCAACCCACTACAAAGAGAGAAAGTAGATAATTCAAAGAATGCTGATCTTTTAAGGACTGGGACTTGTCTGGATTTTATGCAGCTCTTACTTCAGGCACAGTAGTAAACAGATGATTCATCCACAGTTCCCTAAAGAAATCTCCCCCATTAGCTAGCTGTTGGAAGAAATTAAAGGCTTTCTTTCTGAGCAGTAAATGAAGTAGAGCACAGCTGCAGTTAGGGTACAACTAATCAAGTGAACTCACACACAATGGCTATCAATGCAGTACAATGATGACATGCAGGTTGCAGAATCCTAGAATATGCTGAGTTGAAAGGGACCCACAGGGATCACTGAGTCCAACTCTCTTAGCCCTGCACAGGACCATCCCCAGGAGTCAGGTTGGCTTAGGCAAAAATAAGCAAGCTATACACAAAGGCTTACTCTTCCAAATGGAGACTGCAACGTGTGATCTACACACAGCCCACAGGTGGTGTATGCCACAGGAGCATTTACTGGAAACATCCTGCTCAACAGGACAGGGACACTTCTGATGAATTCCTTCAATAAGCCAACAAGTAACAAAATACATCTCTCTCTCTCTCTCTCTCCCTCCCTCCCCAGTCCCTCCAGGTAAGAGCACCAAAACAAACACAGCAAACCTTACTCTGACTTCTAACTTGGTCTGACTGGGTTCATCTCACAAAGTTTTTAAGGGAAAGTTCATTTTCCTTATGGACTCGAAAACACGACTCAAACAGAAGGAACTAAACTAAAACCATATTTTGTATTGCTTCATAAGGCTCGGGTTCTGCAGAGGAGCACTGCAATACAGCAGGGCTGTTACCTCACTGCAGGGCTTCCCCTACACACAGCACAGTGACTCCAGGGATATCCTGTTTCACAACATGAACAAAAGAAAAGGGAATTTTAAAAAACCCACCTGATTTCATTCATTGCCTTACTGGGAAAACAGGGGAATGCCAACTATATAACCTTTAAAAACGATTCACTGCACCTTTTGTTAAAAAATCTTTTCTTCACAAATGGATACACACTTGACTAAATCAACTAAAAGAAAAAGCCAGCTATAACCAAATCCTTGATGGAATTTATATTGATGTAAAGAATTTAAGAGTTTTAAAATAATTTATTGTTTAATCACTAGGGTGTGGGTGGCTCAAGTCCATTCATATATTGGCAAAAGCACAAAGAGTTGCATTTTTTTGCATTCCACACCAGCTGGGTGGCTCATGCACTATTTCACCACCAGCTTATACTGGTATGTACTGGTACTGCCCCAGAAAGGGGTGTTTCCACCTTCTCCCTTTCCTCAGCCATTCATTCCTGCCTTTGTTCCCTCACCTACCTGTGCACACATCTCAGCACGTGGAGAAAGACCCCAGTGGATGAACTCAGCCCATACAACAGCTCTTGGTCTCCACCAGTCCCTCTGCTGAGGTTACAACACAGAGGACTGTCCTGGCATGAAAATGCAGCCAGGAAATGGAATGA